CAATAAATGGATTGTTTTATGCAATAAACTGCATTTTGCATACAATAAACAGCATATACAAAATGCAGTTTTGCAAAAGAAACTTCATTTTGTATTCAATAAACTGCATTTTGTATACAATGAACTGCAGTTTGTACACAATCAGCTCTGTTTTGTATACAATAAATATCAGTTTGTATACAGTAAACTGCAATTTGAATACAATAATAAACTGTAGTTTGTATACAATAAATAGCATTTTGTACACAATAAACAACATTTTGTATACAATAAACTCCATCTTGTATACAACAAATAGCAGTTTGTATACAATAAGCTGCATTTTGTATACAATAAACTGCAGTTTGTATACAATAAGCAGCATTTTGTATACAACAAGCAGCATTGTGTAGACAATAAACTGCAGTTTATATACAATAAACAGCACTTGGTATACAATAAATGGCATTTTGTATACAATAAACTGCATATACAAAATGCAGTTTTACAAAAGAAACTTCATTTCATATACAATAAACAGCATTTAGTGTACAATAAACAGCATTTTGTATGCAATAAAATGCATTTTGTATATAATAAATGGCATTTTGTATGCAATAAATTGCATATACAAAATGTGTTTTTGCAAAAGAAACTTCATAAACTTCATTTTGTATACAATATACAGCATTTCGTATACAATAAACAGCATTTTGTGTACAATAAACTGCATTTTGTATACAGTAAATGGCATTTTCTATGCAATAAACTGCATTTTGTATACAATAAACTGCATATACAAAATGCAGTTTTGCAAAAGAAACTTCATTTCATATACAATATACAGCATTTCGTATACAATAAACAGCATTTTGTATACAATAAACTGTATATACAAAATGCATTTTTGCAAAAGAAACTTCATTTTGTATACAATAAACTGCATTTTATATATAATGAACTGCAGTTTGTGTACAATAAACTGCATTTTGTATACAATAAGCAGCAGTTCAAATACCATAAATTGCAGTTTGTATACAATAAACTGCATTTTGCATACAATAAACTGTAGTTTGTATACAATAAACTGCATTTTGTATACAATAACTGGCATTTTGTAGACAATAAACTGCAGTTTNCCTGCGCTGAGCTGGGCTCCGAGGGAAAAGGCTGAGGGAGAATGGTTGAAGCATTTTCACAGATCCAGCGGGAAACTCTCTACAGCACCGTGGTGTGTTACAGACAGTGTCCAGTGGACGGCGATTCCTTCAAGACTCTTGAATTAAGAGTTGGTTTAAACTTTTTGTGGGCTTGTAAAAAGTTTCTGTTGCCATGCGGCTCCCAGGCAGCCCCAGGAGCTGCTGTTCACGAAGCCTCCTCACAAGGGAATCCGGGAAGATCCACAGGCAGAGGCACCTCAGCTCCACACTGTGTCTCACTGGGGCTTGTTCTGGAAAAACAACCTGGGAACAACCTGGGAACTCAGCGTGCACTGGAACTGTTGGAAGGGATTAACTAGTGCAGCACGGTAAGGCCACTTCCTTCTGATACCCAGAAAAGGCTGGAAATAAATCCCTATAGGTCGATATCTAAAGAGCAGGTATTGTTTATTGCAGTGCTGGTGGTGAGGGTGATAGCTCCACCTAACTCACCCACCCTTGTCATGTGATGTAGTTTATTTATATGGTAATTATTGCTTAATATTGTAATGTCATTATAACACAGTCTAATTTACATAATCTACACAATTTACATAGTTTACATAATTTACATAATTTACTAATGTTATGGAACTAATTTACATAAAATTATCTCATAGTTATAATTAGTTCTTCTGTACTGCGCTTGCACTTCCCCAGTTTAGGTGATCTTGGGGGTCTTCTTCAATGAAGACTCAAGGTTTCCCCGAACGTTTCAACTTTGTCTTCGGAGCATGCACAGTTATGGTATTTCTTGGTCTTTCTGGACCTAACCTAAACTCTCCATTTTGTGGCTAATTTGCTTTACATTTGCCAGTTTCTCTTTAGTACATCCTGCTGCTGCCCAGTATAGCTAAACTTGTCCATTTTTGAGATTATTCCCTTGGTGAGTTTCTGTTTATTTAAGCATTAAGGGACTAGTTAACCATACACTGGCTATTACATTGTATAGAAAGTTATGACTCAGGTTATATTATATATATATTGGTTGTATATATAGGTATCTTATAACTCAAGCTATGTAAGCATCTTGTAACTTTGACCCAAGTTATGTAGGTATCACCTCCTATTAAGAAGATTTGTTTAAGATTTTCCAAAATGTGTGTTGTGACTCTGTGATCTGTGGAGAGCATCTTTGTGTGTTGGTGCAGGTCTGCCCACAGGGATGATCATTTTCCCTGGGTGTCAGAAAACCTCCCTTGATAAAAACCAACTCCACGGTGAGATAATGCCATTTCCAAAGAGCAAAAATTCTTCCTCTTCCTGTCCTGAATGTTTAAGGAGCTCAGATCTTTGCAAAACTGTTTCTTTCTAGTTACTCCTTGAACAATGAACAAAGGAACACCAAGGGTTTGCCAGTTCTTTCTTAGTTTATCCAAGTTCTTTCTGGGAGCCTGGGAGATTGGTCTGGCAGCTGAGAATCTGTGGGGTTGAGACTGTTGTTTGTGATAAAAGTCCATGGGAATTAGGTGGCTCAATATGAAAAATGCCAATTACTTGTTTTCAAAATTTTAAAAGCTGAATAGTAATAAAATGGTTATGAAAATAGTAATACAGTTAGAGTAATAATAATTTGGACAGTTTGAATTAGGACAATATGAAACAATAGAAACAAAGAGTTAGAGACAGTCTGGGTACCTTTTTCTGGGCAGCACGAGCCCAAAAAAGGACAGAGGATTAACCCTTAAAAAAATAACCTGTTGCATACTCATACACTTCATACATGATGCATAAATTCCATTCAGGATTCTGTCTGGTCAGTGCCACCTTCTTCCTTTGAATCCTAACAGCGCCTTCAAGGAGGGAAGAAGTTTGTTTCTTCAGATAAGAGGGCAATAACTTCTTTTTCTCTGAAAGATTTAGGTGTCCTGTGGCTTCTATCTCCCTGCAAGTCCTTTCTTTAGAAAAGAAGTATCCTACATAGCATAGTTTCTATTTTAACATTTTGTTATAACCTAAAACTATATCTACCACACAACTAAAGAGAATTAATACAGCATTACTTTCTAACACACAACGCATGTAATATTCATTTTAATATTTGCGAAAAGCCAATCATAAAATAGGCATTTTTCACACTTTATCTCTGGGAAAGGCAGGGCTGTCCTTTGATTCTGGGGAAAGCCTCCTATTGTGTTTCAGTGTCCCTTTCTCCCGTTCCCTTCCTGTTGTTTGTTTCCCTTTCTCCTGTTCCCCTCTTCCTGTATTTCTGTTTCTGTTTCCCTTCTCCTGTTTCACTGCTATTGTCTTTCTCTTTCTCTTTCTCTTTCTCTTTCTCTTTCTCTTTCTCTTTCTCTTTCTCTTTCTCTTTCTCTCTTTCTCTTTCTCTTTCTCTTTCTCTTTCTCTTTCTCTTTCTCTTTCTCTTTCTCTTTCTCTCTTTCGCTCTCTTTCTCTTTTCTTTCTCCTTCTCCTGTTCCCCTCCTGTTGTGTCCCTGTGTCTGGAGCTGCTCGGGCCATGCTCAGGCCAGCAGGATGTCCAGCACAATGTCCAGCAGGATGGGATGTCCAGCAGGACATTCAGCAGGATGTCCAGCAGGATGGCCAGGGGTATGTCCAGCAGGACATCCAGGAGGATGGCCAGCAGGATGGCCAGTAGGGTGACCAGCAGGACATCCAGCAGGATGGCTAGGAGAATGGCCAGCAGGATGGCCTCAAGGATGGCCAGCAGGATGACCAGCAGGATGACCAGGAGAATGGCCAGGAGGATGGCCAACAGGATGACCAGGAGGACGTCCAGCAGGACATCCAGCAGGATGGCCAGGAGGATGAGCAGCAGGATGTCCAGCAGGATGGCCTGGAGGATGGCCTGGAGGATGGCCAGCAGGACATCTAGCAGGATGGACAGCTGGATGGCCAGCAGAATGTCCAGCACATTGGCCAGCAGGATGACCAGGAGGATGGCCAGCGGGATGGTCAGCAGGACAGACAGAAGGATGACCAGCAGAATGGCCAGCAGGATATCCAGCAGGAGAGACAGCAGAATGGCCAGCAGGACATCCAGCAGAGTGGCCAGCAGAATGTCCAGGAGGATGCCCATCAGGACAGACAGCAGAATGACCAGCAGGATGGCCAGCAGGATGGCCAGCAGGAAATCCAGAAGGATGGCCAGGAGGATGGCCAGCAGGACAGCCAGCAGGACATCCAGCAGAATGGCCAGCAGGATGTCCAGAGGACATTCAGCAGGACATTTAGCAGGACATTCAGCAGGATGTCCAGCAGGATGGCCTGGAGGATGGCCTCAAGGATGGCCTNATTATATTATATTATATAACATTATATTATATTATATTATATTATATTATATTATATTATATTATATTATATTATATTATATTATATTATATTAATAAATCTGCCTTCTGAAACATGGAGTCAAGATTCTCATCTCTTCCCTCGTCCTGGGGACCCACAAACTCCCCCCCAGGCAATGAAGATGGGATGAAATTGCCTGCAGAGGGACTTTGAGGAAGCTGCGGCCGCTGTCAAGGACCACAGTCAGGTCCTTTTCATTTGGACTCCTTCTCAAAAGAGTCTGAACGCAGCAGAGCCCTGTTCTAATTGACAGAGCGTTTCTGGACGCTGCAGGAGCAGGGGCAGCAGGAATTACCCCCAAAGCACATCCCAGACACCACACACCCCAATCCAGCAGGGAATGGGACCCTCACCTTTATCTTGGAGCTTCCTATAAAAGCCATGGCTGCCATGATCCTTTTCCCAGTGTTCTGCCAAAATGTTTCTGCTTCTTCCTCCATGCTGGGACTGAAAGTTGTTTTCTGTCCTAGGAAGTGAAATCACAGAGCCACAGAGGCTGTGATTATTCATCTCCATCTTTTAGGGGATCTGGCAGGATGTTGGGTGAACTGGGGGATGAGTGAAGGGGATGGGAAGATCTGCCTGGGCTGTCAGCGCTGGAAATGGGTCCCGAGACACCCCTTCCCCCACATTTAGTAAGGATTTTGGGGGTCACCCCCAAGCCAGACCAGTTCTTGAGCAACTTGGCACACCTGGAAAGACCGGCAGGTTTTGAGTTACAAACTTCTCCACAGTTTTCCCAATCTCTTTGTTTCTGAAGCCCAGAGTCAGTAAGTACTGCTGGCCAGGATGAGACTCAGCCTTCTCTGGCAACAGGTGAATTCCATGAGGATCTGCACAGGGAGAGGAAAATAATTCCCACTGTCATATTTCTTTTCAACTGTAAGAGAAGTTCCTATTGTGGAGAAAAATATGAGAAGTCTAAGGGGTGAAATAGTCTCCAGGAACCTTCCTAAAACTCAGAGAACAAAACCAACACATCCAGCCCTCACTGGGCTTTGAATCTTAGGGCTCTGCAGCCTTTTGCATCAACAGCTTCAATTTTGCTGATGCCTGAGATGAAGCATCTTCTACCCAGCTCCCCACAGTGCTGTGGAAGTGTCTGAAGGCCAAGCAGCCCAAACTCTCCAATTCTCTCCAACTCTTCTGAATTCAGCTGCACAGACACAGGGCCCAGTGCTTGAGGGCAGCTGAAACCTGCTGTCACCTGTAAATATGTGCTGCACATAATCTGGGTGCTTCTCTGCAAAGGCTTTGGTGGCCTCCTTTATCTTGTCAGCCTTGTCCTCTTTCTCAAAAGGTGTGTACAGGACAGAAAAAGAGACTTCTCCACTGAGGGCTTCTTGAGTCATAGCCTGAAAAAGGGCAGAGAGATTATAAATTTAATGTTGGGTAGAGGCTGTTTAAAAAAACCCAAACTAAACAACTCAGTGGTTTGGAAGGAGCAGTTGGACAGCATGCTCAGGTGCACGGAATGGCCCTGTGCAGGAGTTGGGCTCAGCCATCCTTGGGCGCCCTCCCTGCTGGGAAGGATGAAAATTCAACAGGAAAATCTCACAGATATGTGTGTGCTTGGCAGAATGATCTCTGAATGTGGAACCTGAGAATGGAACAGAGATGGAAGCAAGTTTTGATACAGAAGAACAACAGATGTGTAAATTGAGGTTTGCTGAGCCAGTCTTGCTGCACAACTAAGAAAGCCAAGGTTCTGTTGAGTTGGAAAAAAGTTTTGTGACTTAGAGCAAAGGATAAGCTGAGCACAAACAAAAGGAGATTTTTGCCAAGCAGAAAGGCACCACAGGCAAACAAACATGCTGGTGGGGCAAGTAGAAAAAAGGTCTCAGAATTTTCCACTGCAAGAAAACTGAAAAGCAACTTTAAGCTTAAACTGTANCCAGCAGGATGTGACAGAGTTTGGACACAGGACATGCCCAGAGCAGAGGGCTGGTGTTGCTGGCAATGTTACATTAAATACAGCATAGTAAAATTTAACACAACTGAATAAAATTTAAATTGAAATTTATACAACTCACATTTTATACCATTAAGTACCATTTACTACAACTGACATTTAAACAGATACAGCTTAGAAGTTTATAACTTCAACATGAAATACAATTTAAATTGAAATTCATACAACTTAAAATTAATATAAGTAAATCTAGTTCAATACAATGTAAGCCTTATTTCATGTAACTTAAAGTTAATGCAAGTAAATACTATTTAACATAATTTAAATTTAAACTGATACAACTTAGTTTTATGCAATTAAATAAAATTTAATAGAATTTATACATATATACTATTCATATTTTGAATTCATACAACCTAAAGTTAATGCAACTATATATTGTTCAATAGCATTTAAGGTAATACAACTTAAATTTATACAGCCAAATACAGTTTAATACAAGTTGAAATTCATACAGCTTTAATACAAGTAAACACAAATGAATGCAATCTGAATTTAAATTGGTACAATTTAAAGTTAATGCAGGTAAATACTATTTAATATCACTTAAATTTAAAAAGATACAACTTAAGTTTATACAGTTAAATACAGTTTAATGCAATATAAGTTTAAATTCGACTTAAAATTACTACAAGTAAATACAAATGAATGCAATCTGAATTTAAATTCGTACAACTTGAAGTTAATGCAAATAAATACTACTTAATACACTTACACTTAAACTAGTACAAGTTAAATGTACATAGTTAAATACAATTGACTACAACTTAAATTTAAATTAATACAACTTCAAGTTAACGCAATGCAAAATAAGATTAACATCTATCAAACTTGTATCAATAGCTACAAAATACCTACAAAATCAACTTTTTGCAAAAACTATGCGTCTTTTCTTTGGCCCTGTGGCCAGGCTTCGTGGGTTGGGAATGAACATGTTTGTGTTTTCCAGTCTCAGGTATTTCTGCCTCCTTGGAGTCCAGTTGATGTTTTCCATTCCAGGGATTTGCACGCGTGAGGTCTTTAAGAAATGCTCTTCTCCTTCCCTCAGGAACTCCTCAATCAGTGCCACCTGCAGTTAGAGAGAAATGCGGTCACAAGCAAGTCCATTCCCCTCCATAAAAACTATAAAGCTGCTGCAATAAATTTATTTCCAAACTAGTAATCATTAGAAACCAAAATACGCAAAGACTCCACTTGCACAGCTGGTTGGTGCCTGACTTTGTCATTATTTTTGTTTTCTCCATTTCTGTTTGGATTCACTTCCTTCTTTGCTGTGGAACAGAGCTCTACTCAAGATTCACACCATGGAAGAATCTAAAGACTCCATCTGCCCATTGTATTTTAAGCTGAAATAATTTTAAATTAAAAATCCTGCCCTGCTGAGCTGACAGGCATTGGGTGGAGTGTGGCTTCGTCAGGCACAGCACAGAGGAAAGGTGTGGTAGCTGAGATGGAGACAATACAAACAACACACTCCATTTTCAGAAGGCTTCAAAGCCAGTTTTTATTCTAGCATGCATGCTTTTTATACATTCTTAAAACATTCCTAAGTTTACTCATTGGTCAGAAGATACAAACTTCTTATTGGAATAGAGAGTTGCATGTTTCTCTTATTTATCCTTCTTTTTTCTTTCTTGGTTTCTATGTCCACAACCTTGGTAGGAAATTCAGGGATAAACCTGGATCCTCCCATCAAACTGCTCTCTGGCTCAGAGAAATGGCTGCAAAACCTCTTCCACAGAAAGGACTGGGAATTAATCCAGGCGTGGCTTCCTCTTGTATTGATCCTGGGCTGTCCCTGAGGTGTCCTCAGCCCTGGCTGGGACTGGAGCTGTGCCAAAAACTCTGCTTTGGGTCAGTGGAGGGGGAGAGGTGTATTTTTGGGTTGATGTTTTTGAGTTTTGGTGGTTTTGGGTTGGTGTTTTTGAGTTTTGGTGGTTTTGAATTGATGTTTTTGGCTGTGGCTGCCCCTGGATCCCTGGAAGCATCGAAGGCCAGGCTGGACCAAGCTTGGAGCAACCTGGGATAGTGAAAGGAGTCCCTGCTCATGGCAGGGAGTTGGAACTAAATTATCTTGAAGGTCCCTTCCAACCCAAACCATTCTGTGATTCTATGATTCTAAACTCATGAAAATCTACAGTTACGGGCACATTACAACATAAAATATAAAATATACAAAATACACAGTTACACAGGCACGTAGCAACATATTACAGTGCTACAGATGCATGATTCGTGCCTGCTTGTGTATGGTGGGGGATGTTTCTGAGAGAGGCGAGCAGGAAAGTTTATTCACACTTCCATCTGCTGCCCTGGGGTGCTGAGGGCACAGAGAGTCTGGGAGAGAAGCTTTGATTTCTCCTCCTCCTGCCCATGGAGCTGGCAGGGGGGATCTGTTCAGGGGATGGGATGCACGTGGCACCGTGGATGATGCCATGGGAAGGAGTTTTGTGCTGTGCTGGTCAAACTTTGGTTCCTGTGCTGCCAAGAGATCGCTGGCACAGGAGCAGGGGGAGCTTGGGGCTCTCAGCCTTGTGGGTTGGCTCTGCTGTGATGTGCTCAGCTTAGAAACATGCAGAGGATTAGAGAGAGGACTCCTGGTGGCAGCCTGGGTTTGGAGAAGTTGAGATAAAAGCCTGGGAAATCATGGACCAGCCAAAAGCATTTGGGGGTGTCGGAACTCAGGACATCCCTCTGGGTGTCCAGAGTTGCCAGAACCCCTGAGAGGGGGCTCAGAGCCCCTGGCACACAGCCCAGAACACCTGTGGGTTTGATTGTGACTCGTGGAGCAAATTACCTGCTTTGTATGAAGACCTGAAAGCCACAGAAGTTTAAATAGTGTAATAATAAAATTATCACTAGAAAAAGTAGATTTTGGGGGTTTTAGAATAGGGGTTTTGGGGACAAGATGGAGGGACTTGGGTGTGTCCAGCCTTTCTTCTTCTTCTCTATCTCCATCTTCTGCTGTGATGGTGGCACTTTTGGATTGGTTTAGAGTAGAAGCTCACTGTCTAACATAGGTGATAGGTATTGGAAAGTAATTCTAAACATTGTACGTAGGTTTTAGTATACAGAGATAACACTGCCCCAGAGGCAGTCAGTGTGCCTGGAATTGTCCTGATGGACAGACCTTGGCAGGGCAGGAGAAAAAATTTTATAGATAAGATACAATAAACAACTCTGAGGCTGAGAACTGAGGAGCTCTGACTCATTCTTCGAACGTGTGGACCAAAACAGAGACTTTTCACGTGTCTCAGGGCTGCAATAAACTGCAACCTCCCGAGATGGGGAGGCTGGGGAAGGCTGATCCCTCCCATAGGGCTGACCATAGGGTCCAGTGCAGGGCTTGGCTCTGCTAACCACAACCACTGAGCCTGCAGGGCTCTTCAGCCAGAGACCAAATTAAAGTGTCTGCACGACTTTCCTGCCCATTAAAAGTGCCTGTTCTATTCTGGAGGCAGTGCTGGTGTCTACCTTAGCACAAATGGCAGAAAGAGGCAGGAAAACAGATCCCAGGTGCTGGGTGGGATGTGGGGTGAGTCTTTTAGGAGTCAGTCTCATAATCTGAAGGTTGTGATTTCAATCCTCACACAGGGCACCAGAAACTTCCTTTGTGGATGCCCTGGATGGGGAGACGCCTAAAAAGTTCTGTGCCAGGAATGAGGGATGGACAGGACTTTGGGGTTTTTGGTCTTGAGGTTGTTGTTTATTTTTTTCTCATCAAAGGTTTGGTACCTCACCTACATCTCAGATTTAGTGTACAAAGAGAAGGCACCAGAAGTCACAGGACACACAGATTTAAGGTCTTTTAAAGCTATTTTGTCCAATTAACTCTTAGAATGTACTTTATTTCTACTTTTTTACTAAGAGCTAATTATTTTTCTGTTCACACAACATCTGTATTGAGGTTCTTTCTAAACAATCACTTTGTGTTCCCAACTGCAGAAAATGGAGTAGATAAAGAACAAGAAGGAGATTAGACAATGCCCAAAATCCTCTATCTTGTCTTCTATCCACCTCCATATTAAAAACCCAAAACTCCAAGTTTTTCACCCTGTGATAAACTATACTGTTATCTATTTCTCACACTTGTAGATTCCAATTCATCCCAACTCTTGGAAGCTTTCTCCCTGGATGAAGGTTAAAAGTGTTCCCTTGAGGGTCAGGACTTGTCAGGACAGGCAGACAAATATTCCCAGTGCCCTGGGTTCCAACCCAAACAGGACACCAGAGCAGCAGCAGGATTTACAGCAGCTCTGTACAGTGTCTGTGCTGCTGGGGCTGCCAGCAGGCAGCAGCAGAGCAATGATGGAATGATGTTCCTGCCTGGAACTTTGTGTGGGAATGATGTTCCTGCATGGAACTTTGTGTGGGAATGATGTTCCTGCCTGGAACTTTGTGCAGGAATGATGTTCCTGCCTGGAACTTTGTGTGGGAATGATGTTCCTGCCTGGAACTTTGTGTGGGAATGATGATCCTGCCTGGAACATTGTGTGGGAATGATGTTCCTGCCTGAAACTTTGTGCGGGAATGATGTTCCTGCATGGAACTTTGTGTGGGAATGATGTTCCTGCGTGGAACTTTGTGCAGGAATGATGTTCCCGCCTGGAACTTTGTGCGGGAATGATGTTCCTGCCTGGAGCCGTGCTTTGGCATTGTCTGCCTGTGCTTTCCATATTTATAGAACAGAATAAATTCTATTTATTATAGAATANTATACAATAGCCAGCATTTTGCATACAATAAACCTAATTTTGTATACAATAAACTGCTGTTTGTATCCAATAAGCAAAATTTTGTGTACAATAAACGGCATTTAGTGTACAATAAACAGCATTTTGTATACAATAAACTCTATTTTGCATACAAAAAGCAGCATTATGTATACAATAAACAGCAGTTTTTATACAATAAATGGCATTTTCTATACATTAAGCAACATTTTGCATACAATAAACGGCATTTTGTATAAAATAAACTGCAATTTGTATACAATAAGCTGCGTTTTGCATACAATAAACTGCAGTTTGTATCCAATAGACTGCAGTTTGTGTGCAATAGACTCCATTTTGTTTACAATAAGCAGCATTGTGTATACAATAAACTGCATTTTGTATACAATAAACTCTATATACAATAAGCAGCATTTTGTATACAATAAACAGCAGTTTGTATACAATAAGCATCATTTTGTATTCAATAAACAACAGTTTATATACAGTAAGCAGCACTTTGTGTACAATAAGCTGCATTTAATATACAATAAACTGCAGTTTTCACACAATAAAAACTGCATTTTGTATACAATAAGCAGCATTGTGTGTACAATAAGCAGCATTTTGTATACAATAAACTACAGTTTGTGTACAATAAATAGCATTTTGTATACAATAAACTGCAGTTTGTGTACAATAAGAACAATTTTGTATACACTAAACTGCATTTTATATACAATAAACGTGTGTACAATAAGCAGCGTTTTGTATACAATAAGCAGCAGTGTGTGTACATTAAGCACCATTCTCTGTTCAATAAGCAGCATTGTGTGTACAATAAGCAGTATTGTGTGTTCAATAAGCAGCATTTTGTGTACAATAAGCAGCAGTTTGTATACAATAAGCACCATTCTCTGTTCAAGAAGCAGCAGTTTGTATAAAATAAGCAGCAGTGTGTGTACATTAAGCACCATTCTGTG